TGTGTGTGTGTGTGTGTGTGTGTGTTGAGGTCGTGTGTATGTGTGCGCGTGTGCGTGTATGCACGTGCGCGCATTTGCCTATACGCGCGTGCGTTAATTCGTTCATTCATTCATGCATCCGTACGCACTCCGTGGTCGCGTGCGGTCTGCGCGTGCGTGCTTGAGCCCCCGAAAAGAAGCCCCGGGCCGGCCCAGCGAACAAAGGGAAAGCGGCCCTAATGCCACCCCCGTCGGAATTCTAAACAGCCAACCCCTCATCCGAAATCAAATCAGCCGCCCCGAGCACAACCTACAACGGAATATCTAATCAGAGGCCTCAATCACAACTTAATCGCCGGCTTTCAACCACGGAACCCCCCCCCCCCCCCCCTCCTAAAAGAACCAGGGGGAGGAGGCACCCCTACGGCATTTCTAATCAGGGGTTGAGTCGGCCGGCCGGGGGGGAAGAGGAGTGGGGAGAGGGGAGGGGGAGGGGAGGAGCAACGAAAAAGGGGGGGAGAGGGAAAGGGGGATGAGGAGGGGGGGAGGAGCAACGAAAAAGGGGGAGAGGGAAAGGGGAGGAGAGGGGGAGAGGGGAAGGGGGAGGGGAGGAGGAGCAACGAAAAGGGGGGGGGAGAAGGGAAAGGGGGATGAGGAGGGGGGTAAGGGAAAAGAGGAGGTCCGAAAAGAGCATATTCTAGAAGCCAAACCCATCAGTAGACCCGCAGGTGTCTAGCCCTGGAGTATAACCGCCTCATTCGTAAACCGCAGACGCCCATTTCACTCCTCGAGCCGACGCGGAAACCTGGGTCTTCCTCCCTCTTGGGCGCGAGGTACGAAGGGCCTTCCCGCCTCTTGAGTGGAGGGCGAAGCGGCCTTCCCACACGCCCAGGAGGAGGAGGAGGAGGAGGAGGAGGAGGAGGAGGAGGAGGAGGAGGAGGGGAGGGGGGAGGGGAGGAGGAGGGAGGAGGAGGAGGAAGGAGGGGGGGGGAGGGAGGAGGAGGAGGAGAGGAGGAGGAGGGAGGGGGGGGAGAGGGAGAGG